GGCCGTCGTAGCACAGGATCCTTCATTGAGGCCCTCGTAGCACAGGATCCTTCTTTCTGGATTCGACGAGGGGGGGCACGACTACTACTACTTTCTCGGGGGCGTCCTGGGAGAAACAGCCGAGCGACAGGGATGTTCAAAAGAACATCTTGCGAAACATGGTGAAGCACGTGGAATATAACCTTACAGTGGCATACAAATTCTACATTAAAACTTGCCAAGCAACTGTAGCATAATGTAATAAAATAACATGATGAACAACATGAATGGAGGCTTTGACACATTGGCAGTAGCACCCCTTCATTTGGAGTCTGCATTGTATATAAATCTGTCTCTAATCGCTGCCCTGGAACCCAAGCCAAAGAAACCCCTGTATCGAGCAAAACAACCGCGGACATGTCTCTTCAACGAGGCAAGCATCCTTGCAGATTGAGGTACAGAAGCGAACATATATTTCATAACTCAGATGCCTACTGGTAGATGGAACTGAACATGTTGGAACGTCACATCACATGGAAGGAAACACAAGGGCAGGGGACCCTTGCACAACCATTCTCCTCTGCCAAAAAGTGCTTTTGCGCGTCCTTGTGGTCCGTTTGTCGAAACATGTTGGAGCGTTTACATGTCAAGCCTGTCACAAAATCCCTGCAGCTGCGTCTCGGAAATGGCAGTGTCGTAGTGGAAGTGAGCACCCATTCGCGCGCATTGGGTTCGGCACCACCATTCAATTCCATCGTAGTCCTTCTCATCCTGCAAAGCCCAGCATTGGGGGCTCATCCCTTCCAGGTTACCCAGGCTCAGAGATGTTTTGTCACGGCAAATGTGCCTGAATTGGACCTCTAGGCGATCAACTTGTGATCAACAGAATGGCCTTTGTGAAATTTGTGTCAACACATGTTTTGGAGACAGAACTCGGGAACTCTAACAAGCCAACTCATCCGATTTCACGCTGTGAGCATCTGCCATCGTTCATCCGCCTCTCCCAGAAGCTGCAGGAGCAGCCGCCCAGCCACCTCTGCAGCTGTCCTGCTCGTCGCACAGACTGTGCACTAATGTCGACAGACTCAACCCCCCTGCTTCAGTTCAAACGGGAAGTGCATCATAATATACAGAGTCTACATTAGAAGAACAAGAAAAAACGATACTTGCACCCAACATCGCCCAACCATTTGGTCTATTAAATTTACGCCAGGCGTCCGTGGCGCCTTTCCGCGCGGGAGCCAGAAGGTGCTCAAGCTCCTCGGTGTTCGTCGCGCCGAAGTACTTGCTTTGGCTGGTGCCCTGAATGCCACTGCTGGAGACCGGTGGCCCAATCAATCCCTTTGAGGGGTGGGTGATGGTGGGTGGCTGCTGAGCTGCCTTTAGGAACACAATAGGGTTTTGGAGCCTGCATTCATCTGGTCCACACAACAGATCGCTCTCTACATCCTGCTGCATGCTCCCACTGAGTTCGTCAAGGAAAACCTAGGAATCTCTAAGACTGCGAAAAGCTATACCGCGAACAGGAATCGTCAACCAAAATGCTTCAATGTAGGTGGTGCACCCCTCTGCCACCCAAAATGTCATGCCTCTGGCTTTGTAGCCTCAACCTCCAAAATACAATTGCAATGATTTGGATCCAAGGATCCTCAGCTGAGGGTCAAGATGATGGGAAGTAGTATATTGGTGATAAGGCAGAACAAAACGGACCAGCTGCTTTGTGCTGGTGCTTGCATCCATAGGAAAGAATGCTCTGTGAGAGAGATATATATATATATACAGTATATAAAGCACGAGCTCTGTCAAGGGCGAACGGGAATTGCAATACCATCCGTAACTCATGTACAAATAGAGCTCAACAACTAGCAAGTCTTCCCAACAAAGCGGAAGACTTCGCCATGTATATAATTGCCTGTATGGCTCCCCAACCACATGATGCAAAAACAATGAAGTTGACACCGAGTTAGATGTGACGGATTCATGTTCGTAAGGCCAAACCTGTGTTCTGGAGCTCCAATTTGCCTGACTCTCTTGATGTCAAAGGTCGATCCTGAAGCTGACCCAACAAACCCAATGCAGGCTTCCGCGGGCTCTTGATCCGCCAAGTGCAAATGTCATCCACCTGGGCTTGCCCAATGGGCCCAATGGGGGCTGCCTCATGTCATTCATGAACAAGCCAACAAGCTATATACAAGCCTGTCATGTGCATCTATGTGAGCTGCGGTCAAAATTTTGTTCTTGTCCGCCGAAGTGTTGTGAAGAGATTAGAGTCAACTATTGGTTGTGGATCATGTGTGCGTGAGAAAAACACAATTTATATAAGAGTTGGTATCTTTGTGAGTCTCCAAGTGCAACAACCAATGAAGTCAACAAGGCGTCCAATCAACAACACATCTCGGGCAAAATATCCCTTGACGCGTGAAACCATGTTTCTAAATGCCCTCTAGAAACCTCAATCAGTCTCCAGCCCGAAATGCGTTTACAGCCCCGAAAACCCACTGGGAGAACATGGACATGAAAGCAAAGTCTGGTTTTGAGATCCTCAGGATCCTCAGGACAGTCCTTCATGTCAACTGATCAATCCAAATGTCAGCTTCCGAAACGCAAATGGGCCAGGTAACACTCCGATGCAAGAGCTCCAAGAGTTCAGGCTTGAGCACATCATCCCAGACGCGGGGCAGGCAGGTCGTGTGCTGAGCGGGCTCCTGGCACAACAGAAATGAAACGACACCAGCAGTTCCCAAAGGTCTTTACCCCTATCCAGTGAGTGGACGTTCTGGGCACCCCTACCCGCCCAATTCGGCACCCCAACATGGAACTGGTAGTGCAATAAGTGAGAACTATCCAATCCTGGATTGGCCAACCAAAGAACGGTGTCGTTCGGTGTTCGGTCGGCCACTGATCAGGGTTGCTTCCGACCCGCCCAAAGCTGCAGTGGAGGGTCGGCCCTCCCAGTGACAGCTGTGGTGATCATCCCCGCAACAACCAACTATAACTATATAACATAGAAGCGGATGAAGCTGGTACCCAACAATCCCATTGTGTTGGAACCAAGGTACATATAAGTTGAAGAAAGGGTGTTTTTCAATACTGTAACTAAACAACTGAGGGCGCGTCCTGAACAGAATCACTGCTTCTCTGTTTGTTCTCTTCTTGAGTTATGTTCGACGAGGGGCACTTTCGGGGAACATGCATAACTCAATATAACATTTGCAGTATCTAGTAGTCCATATATATATATATTATAAAAAAATTGTATTCTTCAACTTGACGCACGCCACAATCCTCATGGATCCGGCCCATGCTAGGCCCACTAGCTTGTCTCGGACCCAGAGACGTCACGACGTGGCTACAGCAGCATCCGGAAATCCTGGCTGACAAAGCTTTCAGCCACTTCCTGGCTCCAAATGTTCCTGGCAGGTACGAGGGCTGCAGCAGTGCGGAAACATGTTGTCTCAGCGTCCGCAACCGTCCACGGTAGGGCGCTAAGAGACTGCCATTCAAAAAAAGCTTTTGGAGAGGGTTTCGGATGGAAACGTGACGTGTCAGATTCGTTGGAATTAGCGTGGAAACGTGTGGAAATGTAAGATGTTGACAGAAGTGTGGAGGAGGATTTCACTGCGCAGGCGCAGCGTTTTGTGAGATCTGCAGTTTTCTGCGCAGTTCCATTGGATTAGCGTTTGGAGAGTTGTGCTTTTGGGGTGTTGGATGTGGCCGTGCCATTGGGGTTTGCGTTTCAGGGTGTTGCATCGAAGCTCCCCTTTCGTGACAAGTACGAAACGTTCGTTTTGCAGACTTTGACATGTGAGTTTTTGAGGAAGTCTCGTCAGTCTCGTACCAAACGCTCGTTTTGGAGACTTGGCGTGTGACTTTTGGTGGAAGAAGTCTCGTACGACATGTTATGGAGACTGTGTACGCGTGATTTTTGGAGGACGTCTCGTACGAAACGCTCGTTTTGCAGACTCGAAGCGTGACTCGAAGCCTCGCCTGTGCCCTGCGGATTTGCATGGCCTTGGTGGAAAGTGCGTTTGCGTGGCGCCGTGCCACTGGGGAGCGCGAAACATGCTGCCGTAAACGCGGCGTGTCGCTGGTGAGCGGTCTGATTGGTGGTGTGATGTGATATGTTTGCTTCTAGTGTGTGGCGGACCGTGTGGCGAAGTTACGTTCGTGATGTCGCAGTGCCATGCGGATTTGCGCGGCCTTGGCGGGAAGTGCGTTTGCGTGGCGCCGTGCCACTGGGGTGCTGGTGTAAGCGCGGCGTATCGCTGGTGAGCGGGATGATTGGTGGTATCGTGTGATATGTTTGCTTCTAGTGGCGAAGTTGCGTTCGTGATGTCGCAGTGCCATGCGGATTTGCGCGGCCTTGGTCGGAAGTGCGTTTGACTGGCGCCGTGCCACTGGGGAGCGCGAAGCGTGCCGCGAAAGATGCCGGTGTAAACGCGGCATGCGGCTGGTGAGCGACAAGAGCGTCCCACAAGAGTGTATAGAAGAGTGTCCCACAAGAGTGTCCCACCACAAGTGTGTCTCATAAGAGTGTCCCACAGGAGTTTTCCTACAAGAGTGTCCAGTAAGAGTGTCCCACAAGAGTGTCCTACAAGAGTGTCCCGTAAGAGTGACCCACAAGATCCCACAAGAGTGTCCTACAAGAGAAGAGTGTCCTGCAAGAGTGTCCCGTAAGAGTGACCCACAAGAGTGTCCCAGAAGAGTGTCCGACAGTGTCCCAAAAGAGTTTCCTACACAGTGACCAACAAGAGTGTCCTACAAGAGTGTCATTTGGACATATGTAGTTTTCGAACGTGTTTGCATTCGGGTTCGTGGGCTCCATTTTTATTGGACAAAGATATGTTCCTGGATAATTGTCCGACTTTTAGATCAGGGACTAAGTACAATTATGAATAGTTTATATCTATTCTGGGCGCTGTGAATCCCGTGACCTCCCGGGTGGACAAGTGGCCTCTGGCTCGTGGCTCTGAAGAAACGAGACAGTCTCTCCAAGAAATGATCCGAAACTTGCTGGTGGCACCCAGAAAGAAGTAAGTCGATGAGAGGATGTTGAGCACTGTAAGCACCGAATGAGGAATTCCCAATTGTCCACCCTCTTTTCCCCTTCGTGCCAGGCCGCCATAGGCTCTCGCACGCGACTGGATGCAATGAATAACGAATTGGCATTGAAGCATGAACGTCAAGGCTAGATGCTGCTGAAAGCACCCGAGTCTAAGTGCCCTCAAAAATCTGCCCAACTCGAAGCCGATGCACCCCCCTCCGCTCTCACGGCATGCCGATGCACTCCCCGTCCCCCACCTGGTCATGAGGACGCAGCGAAGGTTCCGGCTCAGCAGTCGGCGATCGACTTCGGCCTGGTGACAGGGTGGGTCTGCCACGTTCGTGAGTGCCCCCCTTGGGATTGTGACCAGCCCCGGTGCTGCCCTGTGTGAATTACGCACAAGCCACAAGCAGCTCTGGGAACTTTTCCCAGGGAAAAACTGTGGGGAGCAAAATCATCCACCAAACCTTGGTGGGTAACAGAATGTGTACATTTTTCATAGTACCTGCGACAATAATACCTTACAATTGTTTTTTCCGATGTGTTTCTGTAAAATATATCCTTTGCATGCCAAGAGCTCAAGAATGAACTCATAACATGGAAGTGGATGGCATGGTCCCGATTTTGGACGATTCCTTCACGAACAGGGGGGATGAACCTGGTCCCGACCCACTTCCACTTCGACTCGCAGCACCGTGGAGTCAAAGACTTCGGCCTCCAGTTCCGTCCTCTCCGTACCCAAACACGACCTGTCTGGGACTGCCAGGACGGACTGCCCCAGAAAGACCCCCAGTCAACCACCCCAGCTGATCGGCAGTCCAGACCGGGTCCGACGGATCCGGACGAGACACGAGACACGAGACACGAGACGCGAGTCTTTTCGGAGTTTCGGCAGGAATTCTGTGAGGCATTTGGGATTTAAAACCTCAACAGAACACTTTCGGAGGTGACTCTGAAAGAAACATCCTGTTTTCAACTCTACAAACACGACACCTGTGTGCCCTGGGCGCCTGCTGCGCTGCCAAGCTTTCTGGGGCCAGTTCGCAAACCCGGTCGAAGGCAGCAAAACTCGTCTCCTCGGCGACGTGCGACAAACAGCCAGTTCAGGTTGATGACAGCGCAAGTGCCGGAACCATTATCTGATTCAAAAGATTCCTTTATATAATATAATCTGATTGGGAAGTTGTCTCTATTTGGGAACTTGTGTCTATCAGAAGGGCAAGTATACCATCCCATGCCCACCCCTCTGTTGGGCCTCTCAAGTGAGCAAATCCAACACTTCCACTTCTATTTATGACCTTGAGCCTGAAACCCAGCCGCTTTGTCGCTGCTTGTTCAGTTTGTTTACAGGTGATATGGGATGCCGAAATCAACACAAAGAGAGAGGGAGAGAGAGAGAGAGCTAGTTTGTCAGTTGGTTGGATCGGTGGTTAGCAAAGCGGCCAAGCTTCATAGTCTCCAGCACGGTAGCTTGTCTCTGCAAGGAAGAGCCTTCCAGTGTCTAAAGTCGCGACGAAATTGGGACTTGGTTGTGGGCTTTCTTGGCCTTCTACTTGCTTCAATCTAGATGGCTGGAAGTTCCTAGTGGAATTGGAGCATTCACACCTCTGGACAGAACGGGCCAGTACATACAAGGCACCAAGCATCTGCCCTGTCTGGATCCAGCTCCACTGCACGGCGCATGCATTCTTCGACTTTCTCATGCTCGTGAGCAACATCATGAATAAGACCACGCAGAAACCAGCGCTCTGACCTCATGATTGGGCCCATGTTGGGGAGATGGGTGCCGACAGCATGAACGAAATGGAAGGTGGAGTTGGGTTCCTCGGTCGGAGGTTGATTGGAGGAGCGAAGGAAGAAACAGCGTCCTGACTGTCGCTGACACTAGCTTTGGTTCCCCGGTTCCAGGTACAGCCTATAAGCATTCAAATAGTTAACAGTATATAAACAACTACGACTGGAAAATGCGAATTCACCAGTTATATGTTTAAACATGCACTTTTGAACTTTTGTATTTTTCAAAAATGCAACCCCCAAAAAAACAAAACTGCAAGCAATAATCACGTAAATTGCCACTTGATACGCATTGATATGTGTGGGATGGAAAGCTGGCCCCGTTGTGTTTTGGAGCAGCCTCTCGTGGTTGCCGGGTAGCCTGACAACGTTTCGCTGGTTGTCAACAAAAATTTGCCGGTGGGTTTTGCCGGTTCGCAGTTCGAAGCTGAACATTTGTAAAATACAACTTAAAATACAAGGCTTATTGTTTTAAGAAAAATACAAAAATACAACCCGGAACTGACATTTTTCAAAAATACAAAACATGCACAAAAAGACTGCAAAAAACAAACAACTACAACAAAAATACAAAAAGAAGATTACGACCGCGAAAAAACTAAAAAGTAGAACTACGACCCACAAACAAATACAACATTTGCCGAAACGGGTTGCAAAACCATTTTTTTTTCGCTTTGCTGACGCGTCGTCGAGGGTGCTTGCTGATTCTGCCGTTGCTTCTTTTTTTGCCACAATGCCAAAAAAAACTGCAAATTCGCGAAAATGCTTCTTGACAACACATCAAAGGGACAACGTGACTCCAAATTCAATTGGCTTGGTGGGTGCTATTTGCATTATGGCCCCCATTTGAGTATGTTGTTTGGGAACCAGGGCCAGTTAGGACGTAGAATCAGGCAAAAAAATTGCATTTCATGGTTGTATTGTTATATGTTTTTTGGTATAGTTTAATGTGTTTGTGCTTCTTAGCCTCTACCTGAAAGTCGGGGATTCAACATTAGCTCACGAGTTCTCCTGGTCCTTGATGATCTAAGCATGTACGGGACATTGGTCAAACTCGGGATTTTAGACTTTGATGCGACCCCGTTTAGGGACCACTTGTGTATTAGATGATGTTGCTGCAAATTCATGGTCTGCTTCTGTCCTATCACTCAGGGACGTGGGATGATAGAAGGCTACTTCCGACTTCCGACTTCGGCGCTCATTGGAAGCTGAGCATTTGACTCTCCGTTACGCCAACGGAACCCGTCTCCTTCTTACCGGGTCCTTCCCTCTCACCATCCACCGGATTGCTCCACCACCACACAGAGTTTGCAGGGTCCAAGGGGGTCCCACCCGGGTCCAAGGGGCTAAACCAACGTAAGACATGAGTAGCTGAAGAAGGCAAAGTCGGCAAACTTTGAAGGGCCCCTCAACAAACGGCTTAAGAGATACCCAGCACTTCCAATGGGTGCCCTGTCTGGAGACCTGTCAGTAGGGTAGGGTAGTCTATTGGACACCCATTGGATGATCCTGGTATTCAATTAATCCTGAACACCCTCCGCTCCCGCTGTTGATGAATTTCCTCTCTTTCTGCTCAGGCAAATGGACATCTAGAATCTTAGAGCAGCGAGCTATTTAGGTAAATTATGATAAATTCAATTACAGTATATATAAATTCAAACGGACTTTGGAAGCAACGCTGCCTCCGTCAATGCTAAACCTTCTGCTGAGGAGCCAGTCTTCAGCTTGACGGTCGCAAAGCCGCGCAGCAACTCCCAAAGAGCCTTCCTTCAGCAGCCTGGAGGGCCAGCGGGATCCGTCGGAAACGATGGCACGACGACCTCTCGACGGGTCAGATACGTTCACCTGCGATTCGAATGTGCAACAACATGCAACAACTACGTTGAAAGATGATGGTGTGCACTTGTGTGGGAGTGGTGCCCCAAGGATTCTTTTTTGGAACTCAAACCGGTCATGGCACGGTCCAACAATGTGGCCCCTGACCTGGGTGCACCTCGAGCACGTCAGCCCAGGCGGGAGTCGGTTTGTCAATGCACGTCGCGCTAAGTCGAGGCACGTGCATTTGGTCTGTTTCTTGACAAATACGTCTTAAGTCAACCCGGCCCTGGCAAAGCTCAACGGGCACACCACTGGAAGCACATTCTTTAGCTTTGTTGAACAACGCCCAAATTGATTTGCACTGCACGCACACGCTCAAATATCGCTGCCTATGTCAGCGGGTAAATTACGCTTATATACCTGCGAGCCAATCAGACTGCACAATCAGACTGCTGGTGTTCCGATGTTTTCGGTGGAACTTAGAATTGCCACTGGTTCACATGCTCCTGGATGTGGTGTCTCACCACTTGGGTAATTACATTGCAAATGCGTCCCATCCGGACGGAGTGCCACGGTCTGGAAGATATCGAATGCATCAAAAAAAGCGATCTGGAGC